CACAAAAACCGGCAGCAGGTGCCAGCGACGCCTACCTGTTTGGCGGCCTGCCCCGGGGCGGCTGGCGGCTGTGGCCTCAGCACAGGTGGCCGGTCGGCGGCACTGGGACAGGCGCCGCCGGCAGTCGCGGCGCTACCGCCGCAGTCCGCGGCCGGCCGGCCGGCGGCCGCCCACCAGGCGGCGGGCCGGGGCGGGGCGGGGGCGGGGGCGGGGGCGCTACGTCACCATGCGGCGTAGCGCGTCCTTGTGCCGGCCCGCCGGCCGGCGGCGGCGGCGGCGGCGACGGCCACCATCCATCCGCCTGCGTTCTCCTCGTCACACCCGACCGCACCGGGTCTCCGCACGGGCTCCTCGTGGAAGGAGGGATAGGGGGGGGGGGGGGGGGCTAAGGCGGTGTTCGCGGCGGCCGCCGATAGGGATCCGACCCGAGCGGCCCGGGCGGTCCAATCTGAACCCGGTCGAGGCGTCCGACTGCTCACCGACCGCGACTGCCCGCTGACCTAGCCGTACTCGGGCGGAATTGACTCCCTACGCGTCGACTCATCGGTGGCAGCAGTACCGCCAGCCGGGCTCCGCATTTCACCATGACGGCTTGTGGAACGGTTCGGCTCGGAACGGAACGGCTCGGCTCGAGCCGGCACGCGGACCGCCCGCGCGCCATCGGCTCCACGTAACCTCCCGGCTCGTGCCGGCCGCACTGACCGGCGTCGGCGCGCGTGTGCCTCGCGGCCGTGACGACCCGTGGCGCAGGGCCGGCACTCTCGGTTTCGCCGGCCGATGTCGAGTCACGTGCGGCCGGTGACGCCTGACGCGGAGCCGGTCGGGCCCGGCGCGCCGGCAGCCGCCGCACGTCCCGCTCTGGCACGCTCGCCCCGCGTGTCACGCGCGGCGGCAAGAGCGCCCGGGGCGAAACACCGGCGGCCCGAGAGCCCGCTAATCGGACAGCTTTCTCGCGAGTGTGTCGGCGGCTTGTCAAGAGGCTCGCCGAGGATGAGGGGCGGTGGCAGGTGACTGATAGCGGGCCGTCTTCGTGCGTCAGCGAGATAAACCTCGCGGCAATACGAGCGATGGATGATTCATGCCCACTTGGACTGGTGCGACGCGGCCGTGCACCGACTTCAGAGCCTTTTCAGATGCCCAACCGTCAGCGGTGATCTTGGCGTCTCTGGTTGGCGTCCGGTTCGCAGGTGGGGGCGGCGTGCCCTGCGGCCTCAGACCGGCCGCCCGGGCCGATCTGCACCGGGAAGGCGGGGCCGGTCGCGTTCAGACACCCCCTGCCGCCCCCCGCCCCCCACAAATTCACTGCCAGTCGCCAGCATCCAGAGCGACGAGAAGCACCTGCACGGAGCAGCACATTGGCTAGCCGGACAATGTTTCGGGCGGGATCCCGCGACTGGCTCACTCATCCAGACCGCACGTGTGGCTGGTTAGGATCAAGAACAGGCGGTGCCGCGTCGGGTCAGGGCAATGAACGCCGCCGGTCCTGTAATTGATGGCCTCGTGCGGTTGACAGTGGGACTCGGCCTTCTCAAGGCGGCTGGACTATATCACAGGCGATGAGGCCAGCACTCTGGCGGGCTGGCCGCATCGCAACTAGACCAGAACTCCAGACTCCCAACACCACACCCGAGCGTTGCAGGCCATGTAGGAAACAGTAAGTGTGCACGCACTGGCCCGAACAAGACGCTGCCGTGCGAGTTACGTGCTATTGATGCACCTGGCGTCAGGTAATACATCTTGAACAGACTACACAACAGCTCCGAACACGTGCGAAGGTGTCGCAATACGCATCACCCCGTACGCACGTAGCATGACAATCAAATGTGACGTCACGCACCTGAATGCGAGTAGCGATGACCGCGGAGAAAATCTCGCCGAGCACTATGAGTTCTGCTTCGTACGAAGACGGAATGCATGATGAAAGGTGTGCTTGCCGAACGCAGTGGCGTATGAAAGGGAGCCAAACAAAACCCGATGGCCGCGGAAAGGCACACAGACACGTGACACGTCACGTCATGAGAATGCCGAGACGCATTAGAAAAACTGGACCAAGCCGTGGGACAACAGAATCACTCAAGAAAAAAAAAAACACGTCCGAGGGCCTGTGAGAGGGCGATAGAGCATCTCATAAGACAATGGACACCTGATAAGACAATGAACATCTAATCAAATAATGCGGGAGCAAGTGTCATACTAATTGAGCGCGAGGGGCATACCCAGTCGGGGCGTGTGATTGGCGGACCTGCGCCCTCAGCAGCAGGCGGTCGGGGTGAGTCAGACTCGTCGAGTCAGCGGGCAGCAGCGCTCGCTGACGTCAGCAGACCGGGCGGCCGGCTTGCGTCGCGGCTCCGAATGGCCCGCTCGGACCGGCGCAGCGGGCGCCGCCGCCGCTCCAAAGTCGATCGGCCGACGCCGCCAGCGGGGCGGCGGCCGCCAGACGCGATCCCCCGCGTTCTTTTCCATTATCAAAGCATATCTCGAATCGAGGATCGAGGCAGGACGCCGATACCCCTCGGATAGCTGTCCGACCCCATAAAGATCGCGCCCGTCCCAACGCCCATCACCGATAGCGCCTCTGAAAGCGCTGACTCCGTGCCTGAGCCGCACACGCGGCCCGGGCGTCGACGCTCGATACCGGAGAGGAGGCGCCGGGCCGCCCCGGTGCGCCGATAATGGCCTGCCGTCCGCCACGTCGGCCGCCATTCGCCATTGCAATCAGCGCGCCGCCGCCCTGACGAACTTCATTACCGGCGGCGGCGAGCGGCCGCCGTAGCCGGCGGACGGGGCGAAGTCTCGCTCTCCGGCACACGGCGCCGGAGGCGTGCCTCGGACCGCGGCGGAGGGGTGGGTCACGCTCGGCGGGTAACTGCGCGCGCTTACGAGATTACCGCCCAATCTTTGGTGCGACGGATAGCTGCGCCGTATGAATAACACAAAAAACACATCACAGTCTATCGCGATCGTTGGATGAAATGATCAATCTTAAACGGTGACGCCATTCTGACGTCACGTTCGTTGGCTGTCTACCTTAAAAAACACAAGCCTGTGAAAACGGCGAGGGCAATAACGCCGTCTGGCTAAGTTCACCAAACCCTGTCCACTCGTGTCCCGTGTTCAGGCACACAACACACACACACACACACAGCCCCATATCTTGGCAGTAGTCTCTACATGATAACGTACTGTGCACTCTGATCGCCAGGTCACGCGAGTCTGGGACCCGGCTCCGGTGGAGGGTCCATGCTGCCAGGTCAGTGACCGGACCCGCGGGACCCTCGGGAGCCGGGGGGTGACGGCTCGGCACTCAGCAGCCGCGGCCCGGCGCGAGAGCGGTTCCCGCGCAGCTGCGGCTGAGGAGGGCTGCCCCAGTACGGCCGGCTGGCCGGGGACGGCTGCCCCGGTGCGGCAGGCTGGCCGAGGACCACCCCGAGCGGGCTGCGGCACCGCACCGCCGCCCGCTGGCAGGCGGCACCGCCCCGGCCGGCCCCATATCCGGCGGGGGCGGCCGGGGCTGCCAGAGGCCGAGTCACGCCCCAGATCGCCGCCGCGACGGCGCCAGACGCCGCGGCGGCCGGCCCCGAGTGTCGCCGACGGGCCGCGATACAGGCCGGATAGCGGCGCCCGCTCCGACCCCAGACCCGTCGGCCGCAGGGGCGGACCCCACCTCCAATTTTGGGGGAGCGAAGCTCTGAATACCGTGCCGTCTGCTGACAAACCGTGTCAGATAGAGACTAGCTTCGACAGGGGCTATCTACCCATCCGTGCTGCCGGGGCCCCTGAGGCTGTCTGTACCGAGGAGCGGCCTCGCCCGGCCTCGGCCCGCGCCTGGACACGCCGGCGCCGCGGCGTGACGCGCGCGCGTGCGCTGCGTCACGCCGCGCTGCGGCGGCGCCACGTGCGTGACGCCGGAACGACACCTGGCCGCGCCGGCGGTCGGCAAGCGCGCCCAGGGGCTAGGAGCACGGCGGGGTGCGGGGCCGAGGTCCCGAACTGCGGCTTAGCCCGGACCCTCTGCCCTGGGGTACTGCGTCTCTGCCCGTCCCCGAGCCCGGGCCGCCTCCTGAGCCCCCAGAGCCGTCCTGACGCCAGGGAAATTCCCAAGCTGCTGCTTTTTGCTGTTCTTTTAGTGCTGCTCTGCAGCTTGTCGCTTCCGATTTTATTCTATTCGGCGTACAGAAACTCACGCGCCAATAAGTGGTTTGCGAGTCCCCATCATCGGCGCCTCAAGCACTGGCCGCCAAGGAGAACGCAAAACACCGGGACACGATGACTCAAACGTGCAGCAGAATGCGCTCCTCCTAGCGCCAGAAATCCCCTAGCCAAAGGCCTGGGTAAGAGGGCCCCAACTCCCCACCACGTCCGCCCTTCTTTCCTGCCAGGGTGCGAAGCAGGCTACGCCACAAAGCCTCAGCGGCTGAGCTCGTCGTAACGCCCCTATGCCACGCACCCCACCTCAGACACATGCTGGGTGCATCGCTGGGCCCACGGCATGACTCATACCCACGGGACGCGCCATGGGACGGGAGCGCGCGCTGTCGGCACCCCCAGCCGGCACCGGGAGCGCACCTCGGCGCCCGGCCCGCTCGTCGGCCGGCCGGCCGGCCTGACAACTGCCGGCTGCGGCGGTGGCGAGCATCGCCATCGCCGCGGCGCAGAACGGCGGCGGCGGCTCCCGGAGACGCCCGCTCAAGCCAGACGCAGGTGCTGCCGGCCGAGGCCAACGCCGGGGAAAGGTCGACGCGGGCCGAGCCACCGCCGGTCGCGCAGAAAGGTCACGTCGGCGCCAGCTGCTGCCGCAGAGCCCGTCTGAGCCGGCTCACAGTCGGAGGCGGGACGAACAAGCGGGCTGCGGGGCGGGCGGGGGCGCCGGCACGCCCCGAGGTGCTCCGCGAGGAGTCCTGGCCGGAGGTGCGCAGCCATCAGTGCGGACTCGACACTCGCAGCGCATGTCGGGGGGTCCGGGGCACTGACCCGGCGCGCCGCAGGTGGACGGGCCTTACCTGCCGTCGCGTCGTCAGACAGCTCCGGTGACCTCCCTGGCCGCGGCGGCCACGCTCGCCGGCTATCTATCGACCACAACAGCACGCCGACACTCGAACGGCGTACTGCGAACCGCCGTCGGTTCAACAGCACGGCAAACGACCGCAGGTCGCGCCCAAGGGCGCCGAGCGGGACGCGCGCGTCGCGGCGCCGCCGGCCGGCCGGCTGTATACTGCGCGGACCGCCGCCGGTATACACACACACGCGCGCGCGCGCCTCGCAGCGGCACAGGTGCGCTGGCGGCGGCGGGCGAGGGGCCGCCATGCCGCCGGCGCCGTTGTGACGCTGTTTCCGCCGCAGTGTCCGGCCGACCCGCCGCTTCCGTCCGCTGGCGTGACCGGAGAGGGAGAGGGAGCGCGGCACGCTCGCCGCCCGCCGTGGCGCGCGCTGCGGCAACGACCGGCTGGGCCCCGGCGAGCAAGTCCGCCAGGATGAAAATGTTCGCTTCCTCCCGGTGGCGGCCGGGTTTTGGAAGTCCACCGGGCGGGCGGCTGGGCCGGCACCGGCGGCGTCAGTTCCAGGCCGTCGGCGACAGCGCGACCACTGTTTCCTTGCCGCACTGCGGCCGGCTTTGATCGACCGGCAGCGATTTCCGCGCCCAATGTTTGCTCTCAGACGCTGCATAAACGAACCGGGCGTGAAACTAACGGCAGCCGGGCGGCGATGCTTCGGCACGCGCCGCCGGCCGCCGCGGCCTTGACGGGCTACTGCCGCCGCCGCGGCACCCTGCGGAGGCACGCAAGCTACCGCGACCTCGCCTTCCGGATCATTCGAGGACTCCACGGCTGAGCAGGGCGTTCACGCGACACGACACACAACGTGAAGAATTTTTAACAAGCTGTCAGGTTCCCGTCAGCTTCTCAGTCGCAGCACGCACGGCCGTGCGTCGGACGCTCGCCGCGCTACATGCACTTGTAATGCGGCGTCGACCGCCGCAGGCCGGCAGCTGCCACGCGGCGTCCAGGCGCCATGCAACATGCATGCGGCGAGCGCATAAGCCATCCGGCCCGACGACGCAGTACCGGCGCCGATAACGTCGCAGTACCGGCGTCGACGGCGCGGCCACCCTGTGCCACGCGCCGCGCCGGCGACCGCCCTGTGGCGTGGCCGGCGGCCGGACCCGGCGGCCGTAGCCGGATGTGCGTCGTTCCGCCGGCCGTCACCGGTCCAGGTCAACAGATCAATACGGCGGAGCGCCGGCAGGTCGGCCGGCCGCAGCGCAGGTGAGGGCTCGGCCGGCCCGCGTCGAGCCGGCCGGCCGCGGCGCCCGGACACAGCCCCGGCGGAGTCCCAACTTCTGCGTCCGGAGGGGCGGACCGGCCGCGTTCGCTGCGCCCGCGGGCCCGGCGCAGTGAACTTCGGCTGCCTTGCTGCCGGTCAGACCTCCGTTGGGTCAGCCAAATGGTGGCTTTGAGCGCAGCAAAGTTCGCGCGAAGTAGCGGACGGTGCCGACGACGCGCCGGCCGCCTCTGCTCTCTGCCCGCCGCGGCGGGGAGGGAGCGGTGCCAGCCACGCTCTCACGTTCAGGGCTTGAGCGGTGATCGACAGGACGCGTCGAAGGCACCGCGGCAGTCCAGCGGCCTCGGCACGCCGATGCTGTCGATGCCGTAGACGCGCCCATACCACGCTGCAAACATAGCTGCCACGCCCACGTGATAGGGTTCTTGTTTGGGCCGCGTGAGCATGCTTTGCCTTGTCATGCTGGACAAGTTGTTACCATGGTTAGACAGGCTCTGAAGAGCATGGCAGATCACATGAATTGTTTCGCCACCGAATGTCGAAAGCATGAGCCCTCACGCCCCGTTGCGCTGCCCTCGTATTGGGCAATATTTTTGTCATTCCTACCAGCACTATAAAGGACCCAGTGGGCTGACATAAACGGTATGCCGTTAGCTGGATAATACCACGAGCGAACAGCAGCCACAGGAGAGAGGCGACCTGACGTGCCACAAAGGCAAGCGCTCTAACACCTCTCTATACGGCGCAGCCAAACACTCTGCGCTCTTGAGCCTCCTCTCGGCCAGCGATGCCGCCTCGCCAACGGCGGCGCGTCGCGGCCGACGGAGCGGCGCCGCCTGACCATGCCGCGGGCCGCGCCGTTACACAACCGGCGGCGGGAGGTGACGGCGCGTCGGTCGGCGCCGCTCCGGCGGGCGTGACCGGCAGCGGGCGCAGCCTCGTGACGCGCCGGGCCGCGCCGGACGCGAGGTCACGCTACAGCCGAGCCTGATTTCCCCGGGGGCCCGGACTGGGCCGCGCCAGGCCGCGCCGCTCCCCCGGCGGCCGCGCCAGGCCGCGCCGCTCCCCCGGCGGCCGCGCCGGGCCGCGCCGCTCCCCAGGCGGCCGCGCCAGGCCGCCCCTCCCCCGGCGGCCGCGCCAGGCTGCGCCGCTCCCCGGCGGCCGGGCGCCGCCGCTGGGACGCCGGACCGAGCGGCCGCTGGCGTCGTTCTGCGCCCGCTGGCAGCGGGTGCAGACACCGGCGACGGCTGGTGACCAGTGCCCTCGAGGTGGCCGACTGTGCGCTGGTTATAGGCCGCCTACGGGGCTTAAGGGAACCGGCTGAACACCGTGCGATGTCGGGGCCGAGTGTTCTCTCATTGTATATGTAAGCGTTTGTTATTCTGCTCAACGTAGTTCCTATTTGCTCATGCGACCACCAATAGACAAAACTGAATTGCTTTTCTTAAGTGGCGGGGTCGAGGTCTATGCCATAAGTCATTCTCAGCAAGCACTCTGATCCTAAAGCCATGTCTATAAAACTTTTGGTCAAGGTTCTCTCAAACACGACCGTAAATATACTTGCTGTATGGTTAAATGGCTTTTCACACACGAACTTCTTGATATAACGTAGTGATTAATAGTAGAACATAACGTTTAAAAGGCGTGTTCCGAGCACGACATTTACTCCGCTTACACAAGAACACACAATCTGACGTGTCTGGCTTCACCTTGCTGCAAACTTCACATAAATTTGCTGGGAATTGCGAGCACCTTGCCGGGTACATGGCCTCTGTGTTTTCCTGGCGTGTGCCGGCCTGACATCTATACTTCCTTGACACGAGTCTGAAGCGCGCCACTAAAAGGTCGCAAGTTTTATAAAAGGTGCCACGAAAAGATGACACACATCGACAGCCATTACGGACGAACGGCGCCACGAGCGGCCAACGTGTTAACGTGAGGCCCGTCCGAGGTTTCCCAGCAACCCTGCTTTGCATGCCCAAAGATGCACTCCACGCAGCCGTTTCTGGGAATGTCTGGGACTTGCAAAGCAGTTTTCACAGGTCAGATTTAATTTCCTTGCCGGTCATGATTTACCCTAGGACAACAGAGAAGGCATTACAAATGGAAGCTATACCAATGTCGATAGAAAAGGAAGAACCCATCACCTGCATGACTTGCATAGGTCAATACAGTGAATCAATCCACTCAATTATTCAATAAATCCACCATCAATACCCCGCGAATAACAATGACGAATCATTTATCATGCCTGTAATGGCGAATTGGGCTGATTACACATTTCGAGGACGCCTACGCCCATTAAACCGACCAGTATGTGCTACGTCAGTGGCGCCACTACACGCGGTTGATAGCTACGTGCAGCGTCGCCACTTCCTGGTCCTCCGCATTGCCAGTACCTGATTTCGTGCAACACCATGGTGCAAACTGTCCAGACCCGGGTGTCGCGCCAGTTCAGGCGGGCACACTCCAAATAGAAGCGATTGGCCTGAGCGTTTCCTGTTCACGTGCGTGCGCGGCTGTCAGGCAGCACCGCTGAGGTGGTGAACGCACCAAGCCAGCTGGTGGCGCCGAGTGCAGGTGAAGCGCTGGGTGAACACGGGACGCAGGGCCGCCAACGATCAGAGGCCGACCGCGGACCTGGCTGAAGACGGGACGCAGGGCCGCCAGTGACCAGGGACGGGTCAGGGGGTCCGTCGGACAGGTCAGGGGGTCGTCGGACAGGTCAGGGGGTCGTCGGACAGTTTAGCCGGGTCGGGACAGGTCAGGGGGTCGTCGGACAGGTCAGCCAGGTCGTCGGACAGGTCAGGGGGTCGTCGGACAGTTTAGCCGGGTCGTCGGACAGGTCAGGGGGTCGTCGGACAGGTCAGCCAGGACGTCGGACAGGTCAGGGGGTTGTCGGACGAGTCAGGGGGTCGTCGGACGGGTCAGGGGGTCGTCACTCGTCAGCCAGGCTGAGACGGCATCTTCGAATGCAGATCCGTACAGCCGGCTGTTAGTTTTGCAGCGCACAAACAGCTGTGGTTCTGCTATACCCGAAAAACTGTGGCTTTAGGGTGCGCGAAAAACTGACGCGTGCGTGACCATTATGCTTTGCGAACACGCCACTTATGCGTTTATAACACAGCATTCAGCTGGAATGCAGTCCGTTTACCGGGCCCCAAGGCGCCGACAAAGGGACAGGACAAAGGCCGTGCCCACTTCCAGTCAGCGTCCCACTCACACAACCGTGAACTACGGCCTGGCAACACATGAAAAAGCGTCCTAACGAACGATGATGTTCTGGAGCGCAAATGAAATCCATGGACCAGTGCGCGGCGCGGTCTGCGTTTGTTCAAGTCGACTGGGCAGCCAGGTCGACGAGAACACTGCCAAGGGATGGGGCCTCGGGCTCGCGGCATCCTCCGCAGCTTGAGGCAGCGGGTGTGGCAACAGCGACAGAACGGAAGACACGGCGGGTACTGACGGATCCAGTCCGAGTCTGAGTCTGAGTCTGGACAGTCATGGGAGCGTTAACGCTAACACAGTGACCAGAAACAGGCTTGAAGGTGTAGTAGGTGGATCTAAGTTTATCTATGTGCCAAATGTAATGAAGTGAAGTTCACGCCGGGAAATGCAGCTTCTCAGAGGCTGGCTTCGACCCTCCCCAATGAGCAGCGTCTGACCAAAGCCAGATCCCCGGTCCCATGTCAGACGGTAGCGGTCACGGCCCGG